TTTTGGAGGCGTCAGCGGTGCTATTTCGAACGTGTGACTCTTGCGAGTCGGGTGGAGTGAATACTTACAACCTGGAATCTCTTGATATCGAACTGAGTCGTAGTCAAGCGCCTTGCCATTGGGCCATTAGGCCAGTTGTACTGATTGATGAAGATCTGAGAAAAAGTATCGTACTACTACTTGGTGAAATTTACTGTTGCCGTCGTCAATAATCGCACAAGTTCATTTACTTGCTGGGGTGGGTGGTCGCAGTGTAGCGTGAAAGAGTTTGCGCTTGTGGTGGGGTTTCGGAAGGCTTCGGCGGGGTGGGGCACGGCAAACCTGCAATTGCGAAAAGACGCGTTGAGTTTGAATGGGAACACGAAGCTGACGCGACGCGGAGCAAACATATACATATGCACGATCATTGCTTTAGCATGAGATGTATCGCATCTGATCTCTATATTTACACTCATGAGGCTGCTCACAGATAAACGCTTAAGCCCTCGCTGCGGGCTGTGTGAGGGTGCTTCCGCCATCGGGGTACAAGACCTGCTCGTTGAAGAAGACACCACCTGGACCAGCCAGCAGGAGTACAGTCGCAGCCATGTCCGTGTCAGCACCAGGACGACCGGCAGGGTTGCTCATGCCAGACTCGATGCGGCTCTTGTTGTCCTCGTCGGAAGTGCCAGTGGTCATCTACATGGTATTAGCTCGACATTTACCGAAGCGCTTTCGGATTTTGAATTCACATACCTCACTTGGGAATACACCAGGCGCGATGGTGTTGACGCGAACCTTGGTACCCGCAAACGTTGTAGCCAGCATACGGCTCAAGTGTGTAGCCGCCGCCTTACTCGACGCGTAAGAGAACTGACCGCTGCTGCTACCCTTCATGTATCCCGAGATACTGCTAACATTGATGACTTGCGAGCTGTATCCAGGAGTGACCTTGCCGCCCTTAGCCAAGAGAGGCAGGAAGTACATTGACATCCAGAAGATGCTTCCGACGTTGGTCTTCATGGTGTCGGCCCAGTTCTCCGGCTGCGACTTGAGGAAGTGGTCGGAAATCGCTTGGGCGTCTTCCATGTTTGGCTGGCCGTTTGCGGAGAACTTGGTATTGTCGTCGCGGGCGATGCCGGCGTTGTTGACGAGGATTTGGATACCCTTGGGTTCTTTTTGGCACATCTCTTCGTAGAGGCGCTTTACATCATCCTTCTCGCTGGGTAGTGTTAGTATCGACACTCACCATGTTGATAAATCGTGTGCTTACCTGACATCTGCCTGGATGGGAATGATCTGACCGGGACCACCACCGCTGTATAGCTCCTCCGTCTTCTTCAGTACCTCGTCACGTCTTGACGTGATGTATACTTTCGCGCCGTTCGCGACTAGCGCTTGTGTGATCATCAAACCAATACCAGTTCCTCCACCAGTAACGAGAGCAGTGACGTGAGAAACATCAAAGAGCTTAGAGCCCTTGAGCTCATCGGTGTTTGCCTTGCCGCCACTCATGTTTCTGACGATTTGGTATGTAGTTCTTGGAAGAAATTGATTTGTTCGTAGTGTCGATGTGATAGATTTGGTAGCTGTGGGAAGGTTTCTCGAGAAGAGTCGGAGCATGTTGAGATATGTTTGTAGTGTTTGCGACCTTTATGTGGTTTAAAGGTGGAGGAACGATGTCACAGTCCAATGCGAACATGATGACGTTGAGACGACGCATGAGTGCTTGTAGAGGGGGTCCAATGCATTAGGCACTGGCGCGACGCGTCGATGCATACTATGAGCGCTTGGAATCATCGAATTCTGCATTCCCCATAGTAGAAGCGTACGCCACCAACATGTAGCATGCTTTAGCATCGGTTTATGCTGGTGAAGACGGCAATCACGGCTACAAGCGAGTTGAAGACCGATGCCGCTAGGCATGCAACAGTTAGACACTGGTCTGGATGCGCAAAGACGTATCGTAGATGCATCCATTGTAGTGTCGTCCTGTCTACATAAGCACAGTGCTTCCAAGCTGTCTCAGTCGCATCGCCAGTGGTCACGAACGCTTCGGTTCGTCGCTTGTGATGGCTCCGCGGATGCAGTCGTGCGATATCTTCGACGTATGGTCATGTTTGGAAGCTAGTAACGAGGGCATGACAAGGCGATACTGGCATCATGAGTACCATGAAGGGTTGAAGTCGCGAAAGGTGATGGTGTTGAGCTGCGTAACGGGAGGCCTTCCGAGGTCTACACGAGGTATGACGCAATCAAACCTCCGAATTATCTCCGCACCATCTCCGGGCAGTTGCTCATCCCCTTTCGCGCACGCTGGCTTAGAAACCGCGCATTTGTTACAAACCACCACGCCAACGACTGGCATAGCGAGCGCGCATTGTCGAATAGCTACGCCTAGCACGTAATCCTCACACTTTGTCAGCATGTCCGCGATCATTGGATGCTGAACATTAGTAACACAGCTTGGCCTCGGGAATAGAGCTATGGCATCATCGCCACAGAGATGCCGAATGAGGGGAAGTCCCGGCGGATGAAGGGCGACTTGACGTCGCAATGGTAGGAAGCATTTCTAATCGCTTAGACGTATATAACAGCATCGAAGCTGTCCTTGATCTCAACTTATATCCAAATAACTTACTACACAGCCACTGATCCAGCAACTACCATCACCATCCTCCATCTAGTCTTCGCAAACCTTCGATCATACAATTCTCATTACAACTGCGAACGAATCTAGCATACCAGTCACCAAGATGACGACCACCGCCTCCCTTCCTACACCCGCACACCAACTCTCCAACCCTACGCCCACCACCAGCGATACAACCTCTTCCGACGTCAACTACCAGGGCCTACCCATCCCCCGCGGCCCCGTCACAGCATCGCTATCCTTCTACAAAGCCCCTGAGGACGGCTCACCACCACACAACTACGTCGAGCCGCTCCCAGGCGTGCCACAACGGAATTGGGGCGACGATTGGACCAAAGTCGAACTCAACGACTTACGGGGTCAGGAGCAGAAGTTCACGCTAGACAAGAATGCTTTCGATACATACCAAAACATCAAGAGCGGGCTGGATAGAGATGGCTTCTCCGACGATGACGCTGTAAAACGCGTATACTACCCAGAAGTAGAGGAACTGCTTCTGAAGAACGTGCAGGGCGCGCAAAGAGTCCTCCTCTTCGACCACACGATCCGCCGTCCGACCGGCAACCGCAACCCCGTTCAACGCGTACACATCGATCAAACGCCCTTCTCAGCCGCCGAACGAGTCAAACTCCACCTTCCGGACGAAGCCGAACAACTGCTACAAGGTCGCTACCGCATCATAAACGTCTGGCGGCCGCTCAATGGGCCCGTCATGGGTAGTCCGCTCGCGGTTGCCGATAGCCAGACAGTGCGCGATGGAGATTTGATACCGATTGAGCATCGCTACCCCGATCGCAACGGACAGACGGCGGCTGTGGCATACAACCCGGGGCAGAAGTGGTACTATTGGTCGGGAATGACGAATGAGGACCGCCTGTTGCTTAAGTGCTTTGATAGCGATGAGAATGTGGGTCAGTGGGGTCGTGTACCGCACACGGCTTTTGTGGATCCAAGGACACCAGAGGGTGCGGTTGGTAGGGAGAGTATTGAGGTGCGAGCACTGGTGTTCGGTTGAAGCAGTCACATGTTATTAGTATGTTACCCTGTCATCGCCTCCAGATGCACTCGTAGTTGGCCGAGTAATTTTAGTCAATGATTCATATCCATACACCTTCAAGACATCGCAGCCCCGTCCTGCATCAGTACAAAGAAAACACCCCACGTCGCCTTGTATTTGACTTGCAGCACATGCTCCTCAAGTAGCTGCTTGCTTAGGATATCGAACCTCATATTTTCTCCCTGGTATTCTTTCCAGGATCCGTTCCAACACGTTCTCGCCAAGCTCGTATGTGCGGCCTTCTTCGCACAAGCGCATCTCTTTCGACCAAAATGCGGGTCGCATTATGTCAAGTGTGGACGTCTCGTCGCCTGGGCGCAATTCGAATTGCACATCGACTCGCCTTTTGCCTCGTTTTTCTTTTTTGCTGCACTTGCTCGCTAGCGGTAATTGCGTTAGTACTCTACGTTTTTGATGCTGCTTTCTTGGACCTCAGTGCTTACCTATGTCCAAGACAGCGGCTCTGAGTTCGTCAATCTCGCACTGGTTGAGTCCCCTGAAATTACCGGGTACGGGCTCGTCGGGCAATGCGAAATTGAATATTTTCACGACGCTGAACTCATAGCGAATGTGTGACCCTGTTTCGTGGGGCTCTTGTTCTTTCTGTCGGAAGCGTAGGAAGTCGGGAAAGCAATTCATGATTATGGTGCTTCTCTTGAAGGTAGTTTGTAGTGTAGTTCATATGTTGCAGTTTAAGAATGTATCTTTCTCCGAAGAAAACAGCTTTTGGTACGAGCGATGAGTCTGACCTGAGTCATTGTGAGCTGGATGTAGACTCATGTGTATCATTTTTCGTGTCTTCCATTTCTTGTGGTGGACGTTCGATAGTTTGAATGATAAGTATGGGTAAGAAGTCGTAGACAGCGATAGTAGGTAGTGTTGGTGGTGTTGGTGGAGTTATTTTGATGAGGAAATGATTGATTTTGTACCCAACTGTAAGCCTCCATTGCCAGTCAACATCTTGTCAGCCAAGTCATACGTGAGTCAACTTCGGAATGTATAACCTCTCTACGGATGCACAGAGTCTTCCGAACGGGGTAACATATAATATAAGGAATGTATTGTGAGTATTGCGTAGGTCTTAGGTAGAAACAGTGATACATACGTTCCCCTGCTTGAATGATTTTATCACGAAAGATTGCCGTCTTGAGCAACTTATATCTCATTTCCTTCTAATTCAGATTTGACGACCAGTATATAGTCTCATTCAGTTCCTCGATCACCTTTCTTCCACGTACAGTCCATTCATGTCTTTTTGCATGCACCTAGTTCGACGTCAGGGAATGCTAATTGGATATTTGCTCATCCTCACTATGACTTATTGGAGCTCTTCCATTTCTGAATCTCTCTTTCGAGTTCTTTGACGACTTCCATGCTGAGTCCGCAAGGGAAGCCTCCTTGTCGTAGCTGCATCCTCCTGGACAACCAAAAGTCCGGTCGGACGATGCCGAGCGTGGGATATTCGTTCTCTCTAATCTTTTCGAATCGGACAATGAGTCGGTTCTTCCAGAACCATTTGATCTCAGTACTGTTGTCCGCTAGCAGCGTTGGTCTTAGTGTCCGTAGTTCCTAGGCCTTTCTTGCGACTAGATGCTTACTCAAGTACTTCAAGCGTGTTCTCAGTTCCTCCATATGTGCCGCGGAAAAGTTCGGCGAAACGTCCTCTTTGGAAGTGTGCGAGTCTACGAAATGTTGGAGCACCGAGAGTTTGACTTCGAAGCGAATGGGTTCGTTTGCTTCGGGTGTCTTGTTATCCTTCTGCCGGAAGCATGCAATGGCGGGGAAGCATTTCATGATTTGGTGCTTCGTTCGAGGGAAAACTATGGATTACTTTTATCGTGGCAGTGTTTAAGAGGACTCGAATATCTTCGTCGAAAGAGACATCGTCTTTTGCGTCACCCGTGACTCTATCTACTCACAGTCATCGAGAGCTAAAAGGCAGAGTCAGACCAAATACACGTAGATACACAAAAACGAATTGAAAGAATCACTCTTGTTGGCCCGTGCACTTGGAAGCATGACTTGCAAAGCCGATGAGGACAATGGCATGTATGAGCACCTCTATACGACTACCATAGGCCGAAGGCGCTCCAAAAACTGCTTGTTTACATAGCACGGAGTGTCATGCTTCTTAACATCCTCGTCTTTGCCGTTCACTTCTCGAATCAGAAAGACTATGCCGCCCTGCGTTTTCTCTGTCACCGTGAATTTCAAACGAATGTATCTTTTGATACCCGCCCAGTTGTTTCGACTCTCTATAGCTATTACGTTAGTGACTATGGGCTGAACAGCTTATCAACTTGTTTCATCAACTTACCCAATCCATCCAACAAAGCCACAAGTGCCTTCACTTGTTTGCGGTACCAGAAGGCAATAAAGCAGCCTCGTAAAGTTCTGAAGAGTTCGGTTCGCGACTTTAGAACACGCTCGATATTGGTAAGGCGAAATTCAAAGACGAATGTAGGTTCTTCCGCTTGTGACTCAGTCTCGTCATCAGAGGAGTCCGGTGTTTGTGGGGTTGGCTCTGCGACTCTTCTGGGCATCGTGCGAGAAATGTAACCAGCAGCGGCAGCCTCTTGCCTGGAGGAAGGTTTCAGAAAAGACATGATGGTGTACAAGCGTGAGTGATAGAAGAGGTGCCCGTTTTGTACTAGTAGTGACTCAACGAGTAGTCACTGTATTGACTCATGCGCGGGACGTGAGCACCGTATAACAGCTCGTTGGTCCCCAGATGGAATGCTATTAACCTACATGCCCACTGTAGCAACCTATTGCGAAGGTAATTATTTGTGATCTTGGCACTATACGATGGTTCGATCAGATGCATAGAACGTCAAGTGAGGAAGCAACTGAAGGGTAATTATGAGTGAAAGATGAATGTGTAGTCTTCCTAAGGATCTCGTGATAACGAGGGCGTGCTACTTAGTTTGCGCTGGAACAAACATTGTGAGGAGAAGCATACTGTGATTTTCTAGGTATCAAAGGAGTGTGGTGTGTGTCGCTGATCATGTTGGGGAACAGAACCCAAGACGTGTTGAAACGTCTTATTCGAGAACTCTTATACTGACTGTTGAAGTCTAGTACAACTCAGTGAAGCGTTGTTATTTAGTAGTCGTCCCCCCGAGAGACAACTTCTTTGCAGTTGGGCCTGAGCAAAACAGTCTGTGAGGTATCGAGTCAGTCATGGTCCACTGATTCCAACGGGCAATTACTCACATGCTCAAACTGCGCGATGAATGAACCGGGAATATCCACCAGCGGCGCATATGCTTGAATAATACCACTGTTCACCAGCGTTCGCATACCGAGGTGGTATTTCTCAACACCTGGCAAGCGTTCAAGCTGACGGCGGGCAAAGACCAGAGTCCCGAAGTTCTCATCGATCGTCTTCAATAGTGACTTCGCAGATGAATGATGGAGGCCGGCAGCGCTGACGCCCTCGTTGCGTCCGTAGCCGTATACGCCAACATCGTCATGAAGGTATGCTTTGCCGGTACTGCCGAAGGTCTCAATCGCGAAGATGTCGCCTTCTTCCATACGCTGGGAAGTCTTCGTCTTGACGAAAGGAACTTGCTTGTCGCCATGGATATGGTAGCGTAGGATGTTATGGCCGGTGATGTTACGCACCGCCTTCACGGGGATGGTCTTCCCGTTGAGCTCCACTTCGTAACTTTCCATGACTTCTTGAATCATCTCACTAATGTGATCGATCCTTGCGTCGATGCCTGCTTCTTTCAAGCCTGTATTGGTAGCCGCCTTGACAGAAGCCAGTAGGTTGTCATAGATCGGGTTGGCAGCCACAGTGAAAGCGCTATCTACGATCCTGCCGTTGACATGCACGCCAAAATCGACCTTGAGGACGTCGTCGTTTTGAAGGAAGACTTCCTTCGCTCCCGCATTAGGAGTCCAATGTGCGCCGATATTGTTCAAACATAAGCCTGTTGGAAAGGCAAGACCAGCGTTGAGACCATCTCCAGTCTCAAGACCCTGGTGGCCAACAAGTGTACGAACACTGTCGTCAATTTCTTCGGCGATGCGGGTGAGAGACGCGCCGGGCTTCGCGATAGTCTGTATGTACTGGCGCACTTGACGGTGAACTTCAGCAGCCTTGCGATAGTCCTCTAGGAAGTCTTCATCCATGTTATCCACAGCGGCCAGATGACGAAGCTCTCCAGCAGTGGTACGCTGAAGGTTCTCATCCTTGATGGCATACTCGACAGTCTGACCTTGCGGGTATTTTCGGTCCTGGTACAGATCGGCTAGCGGCACCCTTGGAGGCGCTGTCTGTTGTGTTGGTGACACTTTCTTGCTCTTCTTCTTGTTGCGCTTTCTTCTCTTCTTCGCGCCTTCCCATTGTCAGCTCCAGATCGAAGTCACGTGATCTCGGCTCACCATCGTTGTTCTTCACGTCAGCTCCAAGCTTCGCGATATCATCGTCGTCGTCTCCGTCTTCATCCTGCCCTTCGAGTACGCCTGGAAGCAGTCCGCTAGCGGCTGCTGGCTTGGGAGGGTTGATGATAGCGATTGCAGCGTCCGCCGACGACCCTGTCAGCTGTCAGCATGTGTCTTCTCAGAATCGCTTCGATCGCGCTCACCGTCTGGGCCTTGGCGATGATCTTCTGGAGACTTTGACCCCATGGTTGCTTCGGAACGATTCTCATCAAGCTTCCGAGATGGTGTTGGTGTTGGTGTTGGTGTCTGAGTTGGTGGTCAATGAAGCGGCGCGGAGCTACCTGGGTGACACGGCGGGGCCTGGGCGGGGCGCGCAACACCGGTGTGCCTTTTGCACTATCCCGTCCTGCCACCAACACGACGTCGCACAAGACCAAAATAAATTCCTCGCCTCAATCAGAACTACGAACGAGACCGGGACTCAGCCTCGCACTGCCGAAATTGTTCGTTCCAGATTTTGACGCTATGAGAGGCGCATCGAACCCGGACGGCCCCTTCTCTTTGTACAGTGGTACTTCGCACAGCAGCAGAGTACAATTTCCGTAACAAGCACGACATTCACGCAAGAGTATGAGGCGACTGCCATTGTTATTGTTGATATGGCCATGTCAAATGTTTCGCAGACGCGATGAACGGATGGAGACTATCCGCGCATCCTATGTGACCTGGAGAATTCCACCAACTGGCACTGCAGTGCATCCTCGTGCTGTTTGCAAGCCTTGGTCGATGCGCAGTAGCCCCACTTGATCACCCCTCTGATAATACAGACATTCAAGACTGAACCCCCGATCTTACTTAAAGATCACCTGGGCAATGATACCCCGGTGGTGGACCTCGAAGTTGCCGAACCCCCAACAACAGCTTGTTCAATGCTTCTGGAATTGTATCGCCCACTGCTGCTGCACTAAGTGGCTGCCCATCAGCTGAAGATACAACACACGCTTGATATCTCTGGGTTCCCCTAAAGCGGTGCACGTATTCCCGTTCGACGAGCACCTTGAAGGCATTGAGTGAATTCCCCGACGAATTTGGGTCCCAGACACCTGCAATGCGACACAGCCTTCAGTCAGTAGAGTTCAGGTAATCGAATTAACGGTGTACCTACTGAGAATCTCTTCCTGTATACCCTTGTGCTCAGGACCCAGTCTATCAATTGATTGCCATTTGTGAAACCTTGTCTCGGTCCGCCCAGTCCCGGCGAAGATAGTGCAGATGCACTGCCACATGGCGAATGGTACGAGTTTGTATACGTGGTAAGTGACGGGATCTCGAGCGCGGATCTCTAAAGAACGCGCGCGAAGAGGTACATTCAGAGCACTACTCTATATACTTAGCGTGAGTCACATTTAGAAGGCGAAGCATTTGACCACCAGGGCCATCCCAATCCGTTTGGCGAACGGTCGCAAAAACACAGCCGGTAGGCTGGTCAGGGAATTGCCAGTGATTAGCCAATATCTACACCTTCGATGGCCTCCCACAGCTGGGTACTTGTCACACCAACCGGCATGGTCAAAGTCTGAGGAACGATCGTTATGTGCCCTTTGACGAAGCGAAGGTTGCGCCGTGCATGCAACTACGGCCCAGCACCGAACGTCTACCCTAGTAGATGAAAATTCCAAGGCTTTTAACGTGTAGCAGAGCAGCTGTAGGAGGCGGAAACAAATCGATTATGCTTGGTAACATGGACAACTCAGTAGCGACCGCAAGCTTGGTTTCCAGATGCCAACGAGAGAGACTGGGCAGCGAGGCGTGAAGATCTTTGAGCATGAAGGTCTTCATTGTCCTGATGGCATCTTTCATATTCCTGGAGGTAGTCGCGGTAGTCTTATTCGATGTTAAAACCGTAAGCAGCGTATACTTTTGTGATGTCTGGTTGTGAGAAGAGCATGAGAGGAAGGGACTCCCAACACGAAATTGCCGAGGATGACTGTTCAGGTGTCGCCAAGACGTCGCACTTGTCGTACGAGAACGCCACCGAAACCAATTCTGACTTGTGCAACCACCCCTCTGCACCGCGCAACCATCACCAACGAGCCGTATTGTTGGCTTTCTCGGCCTGTCTCTCGTCCAGGACCTCTGCAGCATCTATACGGCCAAATCATTCATGTTGGCGGATTCATCATGCTCAGTAAGAGTCGGAGTCACCTTTTCAATAAAGGCAAGGGCAGTGCAAGGTCTTTAATCCTTCAGGCGCCCTGTTTACCCCTGCAGAAAACGAGTCTGCAACGAGCCGCATGGACCCAAAGATAGACGGCTCAATGTCGCTAAACGTCTAGATCTTCCGCGGGATTGGCTAACTCGCTTGGCAAGAACAGCATGATTGGTTGAAAGAGACGGACCTT